TCCTGCTTCTTATTGACATATTTTCTCTGAGATGTTGCAAAGGAAGCCTTGAGAAGTGATTCAGAGAGAGTTGCAGGGAACTTGCTTGGATACAGAATCCTTTATTTTTTAACTAAGCAGGGCCGGTGCTGGTTTTCATTCTTTCTTTGGTACAGGCATAGATTTTACTCCTAAGTGACCTAGTTCAAGGACCCAGCCCTGGCAGATCTTTAGTTCAGTGTTCTGAAATGACTCCTTATGGAGTTCAGGTAAGTGAAAAGATGAGTGAAGAGGACAGGTAGGCTGAAAGGAGGGACGGGGCAGCTGTAACTTCAGTTCATTTAAGCTGGAATGAAGCTGGTGATTTTGGCAAGTTGAGGGTAGGTGGAATAGTAATTGGGAAGCTCAAGAAAGCTTGCAAAAAAAGCAAAGGTAATACCATGGGCAGACCAGAAAGTAGCAAAAGACAATTAGGAAGGTGCGAATATAAATGGGATGTACCTAGGTCTGGAGTTTCACGTATGAAAGCAAAAAAAAACCCACCCTAAATCTCTAAAGGTTATGAGAGGGGAGTAGTCAACAGGAAAGAAAAAAAAAAAAGGCATGAGTTTATAGGCAGCAGAGGTAAGCTTTGTTCTGAAATAGGTAACCCAAGGCTCACATGAGGTACTTATGAACCCTCGTGATCTCTGTGGTGACAATACAAATTTTATTCAACCTATTTTATGTGGAGGATAATGTTTCAGGTGGTGAAGTAAAGGATTTGTGGAGAACTTCGGGAGTGTGTGTATGGAATTAATTTTGCAATGGGTGAAAGTGAGTTTGCAAGGCTGTTGGAGAAACATTTGAAGGAGCTGTGTGGCCTTTCCATGCTGCTCTAGAGTGACTAATTACTGGGCTTAACAAATGTTCTCGCATCCGGTTGGTTTCTCTGTTGGTTGGCTGGCTTTGCCACACAAAACATTCATTATCTAACTTGTACTTACTTTTGTGTTCTTTCTGAATCTTTTGTAGCCAGTGCCCTCTAGGGAACACATTTCACGTCATCTTCCATTGCTTTACACTACACCTGTTGATGCCAGATGTGAAGTTCACTTTGTCTGCTGCTTTTATGCTAGTTTTTTCTCCTCTCAGCCTCTTTGGTAGAATCTATTTCCTGTTGTTATCTGCCATATCATGGCTTGTAATTTCTCATTAAGGCACAGCAACTGGTAAAATTTTAGGTGAGTGGGTAAAATACATTTAATGGAGGTATGTTGTGGTTGTGTATGTATAATCTTTGTTCAACCCTACTCTGCTCTTTCCCCATTGCTGTTGCCATTTCTTATGTTTCTCAATAGATAAGGCAGTTCATCTGCTTTTTGCAATTTTGATTATTTTATGAAGTTCCTGTTGGAGTTGTTGTTATAGTTATTATTAAAACTAGCTCATACTTTTATGAGATGACCTTTTAACAGTAGCAGCTTGAGTTGGTTTGACTTGTTTTTCAGCACTGAGTTAATTTTCAGGCAATTTTAATTTTTATTTGTGATGATGATCAGCTGTCCCGTGACCCAAGTGCTGAAGAACTTGTTCATCTCCTGTTGCAGCAATAAGTGTCAGTAGGAATCAGTAACAACGTATCCTCTAGTGAAAACATGCTCAAATGCATCTGGCTTTGCCTTTTAATTTGGCATTGCCACAGACTACAGAATCATAGAACACGTAGATACTGATGCTCCTACACTTCTGTTGTACTGATCAGCTGCCAGGATTATGCAGATAGATTTGAGTTGGGGTGTTTTTCTGATGTTTTTACTAAGATTTACTAATTTATTTGCCTTACAAAGTCAGAGCTAACATGAGAGTATGTTTTTCAAACTTCAAACTAAAATGTATAAACAACAAGTCATAAACTTGTAGACTATTTCATGTGTTTTTTCAGATGGCTGTAGGCAAACCATGATATCAAAGGTAGAATTGGGGGTTTTGCTCTAAATACACTATAAAATATTTTTGTTTGAATTTTAACGCAAAAGGTACTAAAACATACCTTGTTTGTAATAAACTCATTACTTCCAATTTTTTTCTATTCACATGAGGGAATTGATCAAGTTCACTTGATTTATTTTTCCTTTTTTTTTTTTCCTTTTTTTTTTTTTCTGTTTTCCTCAGAATTGCAAGGCTTGAAAAGGAAAACCCAGTTGAACTGAGTTTCACTGTACCATTACTACCGGTGGGCAGTATGTCAAACCGGTCCGTGACAGCAGAAGCAGACGCACTGGTTACTCACACTAAGTGACGGTGAACCTGTGTGGATCACTGCCATTAGGAACTGAATCTTGGACCTTTGCACCTGAAAAACAGACCTTTGAGTCTGACTGCAAGAATCCCATTTGTCAGTTCTAATTGTACAAACTCACATGCACATGTGGACCTGCTGTTCACCTGGGAGGTGGAGTGCCGTGTAGCGTAGGAATTGTACATTGTCTTGCTGGCTAGGAAGCAACTATAAAAACTACCCAGGCTCGCTGTGGCTTAAATCTCTGTTCTGGCCACCTGTTCCAGTATAACTTGTCTCCTTCCAACAAGTCACCTTGGATTACATTTTCATTCTTGTTTTCTTCTGCTTTGATCACTGAATAATTCACTTAATTTAGAGGCATATTGAAAAATGTCAAATCCTGATAATCTCAGAATTGTCTTTGCAGTTGCTTTATTATTGCAGCAGCTCTTGACTTTTCTGTGAGTAGAGACTGGCATTTGAAGGCATTAATTAGAAATGCTGGAAAACCATATGGTTTGAGTGCCTATGCATGGTGTTTCCCAAGTAAATTTTTACTACTGTGTAGTTGTTGTTCAGTGGATGTTTTACCAGGTTAACATCCTTTAACAATTTTCAAAACTGAACATAAATTTCTATAGACAGAGTAACAGTTCTGGTTTCTGGAATGGAAGTTTTCCTTAGCAAGTGTATTCCAAACCAGTATTTGTTACCTTCTGGGAAATGAAATGAATGTCCTTCTTATGGTTGCTATGGGTTTGGGATTTGGTCCTTTTTTTTTTTTTTTTTTTTTTCCCCCCTGGTCTGTTGAAGCCTGTTTTTATTTGGAGGAGTGGTTGCTTATTATTTTTCTGTTTGTTTCTGGCTTGTTGGGGGTTTTGTTTTGGTTTTTTTGGGGGGGGGTGTTGTTTGTGAGGGAGTGGTTTTGTGTTTTGTTTGGGGTTTGTTGGGTGTCTTTTTGTGTTGTGGAGGGTTTTTCCTTTGTTTGTTGTGGTTTTGTTTGTTTGTTTTCCCCTTAACCATAAGAATTTGAGACTTGGAAATATTTATCCTTATTTGTTGAAGTGTGATAAAAGCCTGAACCTTGTTGTCTTTTTGACAGCAACAGAGTGATTTTCGTGAAACAGCTTGATCATGTTGTTAACTTCAGTAGTTGAATTCATAATTCCAGAGCATGATTTGAGCAAAACTACATGCCATGTATGTTATGTCTAGCGTCAAAATTATTGATAGAAAATAAAGACAATACCAAATATTTACATGGTAGAGAACAGCAAATATTGCTGTTTTTCTGAACAAGAAGCTTTTTTCACTTTCAGTGTAGTTATTGTATAGAAGGTTTTGAGAAGATTGGGGTTTTTTGTTTTTTTTTGTTTGGCTTTTTTTTGTTTGTTTTTAATGTTTAATTAAAAAAAGATGCATATGACTAATTTATAGAATCAGAGAATAATTTGGGTCAGAAGGGACCCCTAAAGGTCATATAGTCCAGCCCCTCCTGCAACAATCAGGGACATCTTCAACTAGATCAGATTGCTCAGAGCCCTGTCCAGCCTGACCTTGAATATTTCCAGGGTTGTGGCATCTACACCTCTCTGGGCAACCTCTTCCAGTGCCTCGCCACCCTCACAGTGGAGAATTTCTTCCTCATAGCTAATGTAAAACTATCCTTTTTTGGTTTAAAGCCATTATCCCTTGTCGCATCACTACATGCCCTCTAGGAAGTCCCTCTCCAGATTGCTAGTAGGCCCCCTTTAGGCACTGGAAGCTTCTCTAAGGTTTCCCTGGTGCCTTCTCCTCTCCAGGCTGAAGCAGGCCAACTCTCAGCCTGTCTCCATAGGAGAAGCACTTCAGTGCTCTGAACTGAATGAAATACTACTGTATATATAGTATAGTTTATTTCCTGAATGAACTTATACAATACCTACTAGATGAAGCATGTTATTACAAGAAGACATTGAATATTTTTGTAAATGTAAAATAAAATAAAAAAAAATCTTGATCATAGTCTTGGTAATTGTGTAGAAGGTTACTTTAGGTGAAAGGAACTTTAGATAGGTTAGCAGTTTCTTTTTTGTTGTTGTTTAGTTGCCTGCAGTTACTGAAAGTCCATCAGGGCTAGTTTTCGTTTAATTTGAAGAGGCTTTAAAGTTATGTTTTTTAACTCTTAGCTAGTCAGCTCCCTTTCTCCTCACCCTGGTAAAAACACTCCTTATGCAGTATTAGGGTATTTAGCAATAGTTCCTAATACTTGAGATTGATTAAAAGAAGTAGAATCCTTGAAAAAGGAAAAACAAGATGATGGTAGCTTGTGTTCCTTTTAGGTTTAAGCTCAGTTAAGAGACTCAAGCTTGTGAGTGCCTGTACTTAAGTACCTTTCATTTTGTTAGAGTTGTGTATTCATTACTGTAAAATTTGGCCAGAATGGTGGGATTATTTGAACACATATAGTAGTTTTTGCAAATTTCAGCTTGGTTTTAAATTGTGGCTCCTGTGCTTTATTGATATAATGTTTTTACTTGTTTCTCTTGTAAATCTTTTTTAGAAATTAGTTAGTGAATTGGTATAAACTAGAAAGATGGACACATTGCTTTTAGTTCATTGAAAGTTAAGTAATTTCAAGTTGGTTTTATGTCCTTCAGTTAAACGTTGGGTGATTAAAAATATCAACTTTCTTATTAACAGTAATGAAAAATTTCCTGGGTTTTGTGCTGAAGGATAATCAACTACATTTTCATTTTTTCTGTATTCATATTTTCAGATTACAACTGATGGGAAACCTAAGATAATTGATATAATTGATACAACAGGCAGTGGTGATGTAACTACATGTACCATTGTGGAACCTAAAGATGGAGAAATTGTCGGTCTGTCTGGAAGAACTTTAAAGGTGAGTATTCACTGGTGCAGAGACACTACTGGGCATCTTTTCCTTTCTTGTTTAACTACAAGTTTAGTACTTAGTTTCTGCAAAACTTATTTTCTTTTAACCAGATGCCGCGATTTAGCCCCAGCTAGCACCTAAGCTCTATGCAGTCGTGCGCTCACTCTCCCCCTAGCAGGATGAGGGGAAGAAAACTGGAAGGGTAAAAGTGAGAAAACTCATGTGTTGAGATAAAGGTAGTTTAACAGGTTAAGCAAAATCTGCACATGCAAGCAGAGCAAAACAAGGAATTTCTGTCAGCAGGCAGGTGTTCAACTTGTGGGTAGATAGGTCTAGAGACTGAAAAACCCGTGAGGACTTAGTGAAAATGCAGTGAGCCTACAACTATAAATAGAACAGAAACCCTGTAGGGTTCTGAAAAAGATATGATGAGATCTAGCAGGGGGCTGAGCTTAGAACTGCTGATGCTACTGACATAATTTGATTGATGTTAGGTTGATGAGGTGATACGAGGGCATCAACTCTTTGGATCTTCCCATGCTATCAGCTTTCTTCTGAATTTTGCACAGAATATGATTGTAAGGGTGAATCTCTTGCTTTCTTGGTTTTTGGTTTGGTTTTTGTTTTGTTTTGTTTTTTGTTTTGTTTTGTTTTGTTTTTAACTAGGGATAGTGGATCTGATATCCTGAGAGTCTAAACTGCAGTGAGATATGAAAGTAGACATTCAGATGTTTGTCATGACTTCTAACCATAATACGCATTCATGCTACACTGCTGCTTTTTGTTTATAGCGCTATTATTTCCCTTGACTTCTACCCAGTAAAGTCACTGCTGGGGCTTTATGTTTTGAAAGTAGATCATCAGGGCAATGGTTACTTGAAGTTGTTCAATGGTAGTGTCACATGAATTGATACTGATTCCTTTTGAGCTGGATTGAAATTGCCATGTCATGTTGTTGTAACTTAGTGCAGTAGTTACTGTCATGGAGGCAGGGAATTAAATTGGTGGTATTTGCAAGTCTCTCTTCCAAGCTCTCTTACAGTGTTGATTTTTCTTCTTATGTTTTTTTAATGCCATTGGTTAATGCTTTTCTGAATACACTTTTCTGCAGATTCCAGGAACCTGGGTAAATCCTTCAGGCAAATATCACATTGGCATAAAAAATGGCTATGATATCTATCCTAAGGCTCTTAAGGAGAGGATTCAGGTAAGGAATTAGATTTACTTCTGGTGTATGGTCGTATTTCACTGTTCGGATTCCTAAGTTTTTCTGGGAAACTATGATATATGATTTGCTAAGACATGTAGGCTGCTAGCCAGCACTTGAAAGCTATTCTCTCACTGATTTTTGTTTAGTTTTGACATGATCCATTTCTTCTGTGATTTTTCAGGACAGTCCAGTTGGTGGTCCTCCTCACAGTGGCAAAAAGTCTAGAAATTGCTGATAGCAGGGTTTTTTTCTGTGTGGCAGTTGATATTCACTTATAGCATTGAACTTTTTTAGCTATTGTGTTTCAAAGTAGAGTTTTCATATTACTTTTGTAGTCTTGATACTCTGATATATATGTATTTGTCCATATATTGAGGAACCTGGTTTTATTCTACAGAAAGAACGCAAGGAAAAGCTGTGGGATCCTGTTCACAGACTGGCTCTAGCAGAGGCCTGTAGAAAACAAGAAGAATTCGATGTGGCTCATAGCTCTCCTTCTCAGGTTTGGATAAGTAAATAAATTCATAAATTTGTTTGCAACAACTTGTTCCTGGTTGAGAGGATTCAAATATTTTATTAGATGAGTGAAGGGAAGATACTTGTGGTTCTTCTGGCAGATCACTTGCTAGTTTAATCTTCTGATTAATTTAAAAAGCCTATATATGGATGGTTGTTTGATTTGCTTATCATTGTTAACTTTCTAAGCTTGTCAAATATGAAAAGGGTGTTACTTCAGACACTTTGTAGGATATTTTGAGTAAGTTTTATTTTTAATTTAATATGCTCTTTTTTTTGAGGCTGTCATCTTTGCTGTGTTCCAAGTTGGAATCTTCTAAATGTATCCTTTATTTTGTAAACTAGATACTATTTCAGTGAAGTACCAGGAATACCTCAGGTCACTTCTGTAACATTTAATGATGTGTAAATAAATATATATATAAGGGTTTTAAGCTTTACAATTACAGAAATTGAAAATAGCTCTATAAAGCAGGCCAAAAATAAACAATGCACTGTTGAAGTCAATTAAACATCTAGATGTTTGTGACTCCTACGATAGTCTTACATTCTTGGTGAAGTAACAGAACAAATGTATAACATCAGAAAGTAATGTAGGATTACCTGTCTTGTAACAATTTCAGAAATAGTCTGACTGTATTCTTGTTGCCTTATTAGGTAAATAAACTAATAAAGGAAGAACTTCAAAATCAAGTGGAACTGCTGAATTCTTTTGAGAAAAAATACAGTGATCCTGGCCCAGTATATGATTGTCTGGTATGGAATGACGGCGAGACCTGGAGGTAAATGCCTAAACTTGTGTAACATGTCATCTTCTACCCATAAAAACCCAGCTTGCATTGAAGGCTGTGTTAACTTTGAAATCTACCCTCTTTATAGAGTTCTTAAATATTTTTTGCTTTAAAATAATCTTCCTGCATCACTCGAGTCTCATGACAAAGTTCCAGTCCCGAATGAAGATGGGGTAGAATGAAGTCTTATTAAAGACAGCATGATACAAAGGGTAAGCTTGTGGGGTTTTCCTCTGAGGCAGAGTAAAATTGCTTTGAGTATCCATTGGTGAGAGGGGGAGAAAAAAAAACAACCACCAACCAACCAGACCCCAAAACAGCAGCAACAATAAAAAACAAACCCCAAACCCACAAAAGTCTTTGCTGAATTACCCAAATTTCCATATGCTTGCTTTTCAAAGAAAGATTTATTTGAATTTAGTAGCATTTGAAAGTGAGTTTATTTAGAATCTTTGTAGTTTCTGAATCTTAAGTGCAAACAACCCAGTTTAAAAATATTGACTTAAAGAATTAAGATACCATAAACACAGAACCAAACTTCTTGAAGTCTTTGTGGTACTCTTTGCTGGGGGGCAAGATAACCAAAAGCTTACAGCAGCTGGAAAACTACCTTTTTTCTTTTGGTCAACAGAGCCTGCATAGATACAAGTGAGAGTGGTGACTTGACAAGCTGTACAGTGCTGAGAACCTACAAAGAAGCTCAGGAGTATGGATCTTTTGGAACATCTGAGATGTTGAATTACTCTGTGAATATATATGATGATGGAAACCTTCTTTCCATTGTGACAAGTGGAGGTAAATGAAAGTAATAGTAAGAAAATTTTGCCACTGAGACGCAGCAGTTTGTATTGGGTCCTGATTTTGACACTTGGGATGGCTCAAGGCAGCTGTCTTAATACAGCATTCATTACTGTGGCAGTCAAGATCAATATTCAGTTTTCCTGAACTGAAGCTATAATGACAGCTCATTACCAAACTTGCTAGCATTTTTGTCTGAAATATTATCAACTATGTGTTCAAATGCCTATACAAATACAATGTGTATATTTAGGAACTCTTTAAGATGTTTCTGCATCTTAATGTCTAAAATGGAGAGAACCTTCTTTCAAAGTACCTTTTTTTAATTTTGTTTTAAAATATAGGTGATGACTGATTTTTAGTTGCTGTGCTTTGTCCTTGTATAATTTTAAAATCTTAAATAAGACATACCCGTGAACAAAAGGGGGATTGATCTTTATTTTGGTTTATCCAAACTCTTTTGTGATGGCAGGTGTCGCTATAGCTGTAGCTCTAACCACTCTGAATTTGTGTGTTCTTTATATAATCTTGTTTTGTTTTGGAAGCATCCTAAGTGGTTAAGGTGATGTGGATGTATTTGATGTGAAAAATATTCTTAATTTATCATTAAATGATCCTATCTCAGTAGAATTACAGAAGCAGTTCTGATTTCTAAACTGATGGACATTTTTTGAGAGATTCCTTTTTATACTTTGCAGTTTTTGTTTTGTTTTGGGGTTTGTGGGTTTTTTTGTTTGGTTGGTTTTTTGTTTTTGTTTTTTTTTTTTTTATTTTTTTAGTGGGTTTTTTTGTTGTTGTTTGGTTGGTTGGTTTGGGGTTTTTTTTTTCACCCTTAATCCCTGCTATCTGAGTCATCTCAGGTATAATTTTCATAACTTTGAGTAGGAAGTGTTGAGCCTTTGAAGTAACTTCTGTTAGTGGAATTAAGTTAATACATCCTTTCTCCCTACCTCTTGCCTCCTTTCTCCCTTCAAAAAGCTGTTTTATTTTGCAGATTGCTGCTGTTCACTGGTTTTGGGGTTTTTTTCCCTTAGAATAATAGAACATTTATTTAATAAGTGATTTAAACCCTGGGCTCATTTTATAGAATTTTAGAATCATTTAGGTTGGAAAAGATCTGTAAGATCGAGTCCAACCGTTAACCATTACCGTGTCTCTAAGCACCATGTCTACAATGTGTTTTAAACACCTCCAGGGATGGTGACTCACCTACTTCCCTGTGCAGCCTGTTCCAATGCCTGAGAAATATTTTGGGAACAAATTTTTCTTCCTAAAGCTTCCCTGGCTTAACTTGAGGCCAGTACCTCTTGTCCTATTAGTTGTTACTTGCGCGAAGAGACTGACCCCCGTTTCACTACAGCCTCATTTTCAGGTAGTTGTAGAGGGTGATAAGGTGCCCCCTGAGCCTTCTCTTCTCCAGACTAAACAACCCCAGTTCCCTCAGGTGCTAGCTGCTCCTCATCAGACTCATGCTCCACACCGTTCACCAGCTTTACTGCCCTTGTCTGGATATGCTCCAGCAACTCAGTGTTTTTTCTTGTAGTGAAAGGCCCAGAACTGAACACAAGATTCGAGGTGCAGCCTCACCAGGGGGGATGATCTATTCCCCAGTCCTGCTGTCCACACTATTTTTGGTACAGGCCAGGATGCTGTTGGACTTCTTGGCCACTTGAGCATGCTGACAGCTCATATTCAGCAGCTGTTGACCACCACTCAGGTCCTTTTCCATCGGGCAGCTTTCCAGCCACTCTTCCCCAAGCCTGGAGCCTTGCATGGGGTTGTTGTGACCCAAGTGCAGGACCTGGCACTTTGGCTTGTTGAACTTCATACAACTGGCCTCGGCCCAGCGATCCAGTCTGTTCAAAGCCCTCTGTAGAGCCTTTCTACCCTCAAGCAGATCAACATTCCTGCCCAACTTGGTGTCATCTGCAGAATTATTGAGGGTGCGCTGGATACCCTCATCCAGATCATTGATAAAGGTATTAGATGGAACTGGCTCCAGTATTGAGCCCTGGGGAACACCACTTGTGACCAGCTGCTAATTGGATTTATGTACTTAAAGCTCAGTAAGTGAAAATTGAGTGTATTAAATTGGTATAAAGAAGCTCACTAAAGATACAGTGATACAACTTTTCATTTCCTCAGGAGCACATGGAACACATGTGGCTAGTATTGCAGCTGGATACTTTCCAGAAGAACCGGAACGAAATGGTGTGGCTCCTGGAGCTCAGATTCTTGCAATCAAGATTGGTGATACAAGACTAAGTACAATGGAGACTGGCACTGGTCTAATAAGAGCTGTGGGTATTTCACTGACTAAACGATTAATTTCAGCCATGTGACTTAGTGTTCCACAATATTCTACAGTTTTCTTCTCCCCTTGCTTATAGGGAGTGTTTTTATAGTTCTAGAATATTTCCAACAGAAAGAAGTAAGCAACCAAATGCCAACAACCCTCCCCTCAAAGAAAACCCAGAGCAAACAAAAATAAGCCAACCAAAAAAGCCTGCAGAGCAAACTAGAATGCATTTTAAAACATATCTTAATACTAACGTTTTAATATAAAACAAGTCTTCTGTTGCACAGAGCATTAGGGTTTTTTACAGACTAACGGAGTTGAGGTTTGTCTGGCTAGTTTGACATGTGGGAGAAGTTACTTGTATGCTTATTTGTGGCTCCTTAGTCTGTGTTGTGAGTGGTTTTTTTTATAGTTACATAGATAACTATAGAATATTTAAATCTAGTATAGAGACTAGTACCTACTAATGTGGCTGATTTTTGTTGTTGTTGTTTTTTTACTTTCTTTCTGAAAAGTGAGGAAAAATGTAATTCCTTTTTAATGATAAAAGGCCCAAGCCATCTTCCATATAATGAGTTGATGGGGAAAAAACTTCACACAAGAAAAGGAACTGAAAACAGAAAACTGTACTTGTGGCCCATAGTGTATCTTGCTATAGCAACACAAAGGTGTACTATAGTGTTTTGCAACTTTTGGGAGTTTAACCAAACTGCACAGGAAAAGAGAATTTTATGTTATTGAGGACAGACATTTGAGACAATACTAATGAAGTCTGCAGTTTTCTCTTAGGGTACTGTTAATTTATAGCTTGGAACATGACAAGAGTAAGACTGTTCAGGGACTGGTTTTTTTATTCTGTTTGTTCACTCAGGAAATACCACTTAAATAACTGATTGAAGTAAATTATTTTCTTCTCTAGAATCAAAAGAAATTTATCCCTTTTTCTTAGATCTGTAGCAGATCAGTTTAAACAGATACTCTTTGCCATTCCTTAAGTGACTTATTCTATGACTAGTATGTATTTTGGCTTTTATTTTTACTTTATCAGATGATAGAAGCAATAAAATACAAATGCGATCTTGTCAACTATAGCTATGGAGAGGCAACACATTGGCCAAATTCTGGGTGAGTACCACTGTGGTTAATATAAAGTATTTTAATATGACAGAAGAGGAATTACATTTGTTGAGCTTTGTGTAAATGAACTGTCAGTAAGATGAATTGTCCAGACAAACAATTCATATACATTAAACTGTTGCAGTTTATATTTTTAACTGCCTATAATATAAAAAATGTTTCAGAATAATAAAGAATTTTTGTAGTTGGAACACCACATAATTTGGGGGGGGGGGTTAAGACCTAATTTTGCTACGTAACTGTTGCTTCTTTTTAAAACCAGAAAATATTTTTTGTGGTCAGCTTCTGTATGAAACCGCCTCTGCTAGGTGTGGGAAGCAGTCTGCATAATATTCCTTGTTCTGTGACTGGTCACAGAGATTCTACAGGAAATGGGCGTTTTGCCCTGTGGGAAGAAAAGAGTATTTTTGATTAATTTTTTTTTTTTTCCTCATCAGGAGAATTTGTGAAGTTATTAATGAAGCGGTGTGGAAACACAATGTAATCTATGTTTCAAGTGCAGGAAATAATGGCCCTTGCCTTTCTACAGTAGGATGTCCTGGTGGAACTACATCTAGTGTAATAGGTAAATCATTTTCTTTGGGGGGAAAAAAAAATGTTGACAGTATTCAGCTTCTGTCTTAACTGTAACCATGTGAGAACACCACTTCACTCAGACCATTAGCTGCTGGCAAATGCGACTTGTAAAAAATATAAGCAAGTTGGATTCTAAGTAATGTTCTGGAAGGTCTTGTAATGTTGAATTGTCAGAACCACAGTTTTGGATATTTTGTCTTCATCAGACACTCTAACTTCTATTTGTAGTGAAACAAAGCATTTTAACTTGGATGTAAAATAATCCATGACATGACCTGGACAATTCCTTCTAGAGGAAGAATTCTTTCAGCTGTAATGCCACTTCTGTGCAAGTCTATTACTGGCATAAGAATTTGGTTTTCTGAAGGGCTAAGTGTATGGTTTTGATATTTTAGTGAAAGGTTGAGATATAAAACTTAGCAAAATGTCTAGCATTTAGAGAAGCTTCCTTAGTTTTTATTTTTATATAAATCTGATGCTGCATTACTGAGTTACACAAGCTGCTTGTTAAACCTCAGAATTCTCATGCAAGAAGACTAGCACGTGGATTTGAAAGTTGGAGAGATGCTATTTCAGGACAGCTAGTAGAATGCTGATTACTTTCTAAAGTTCATCTGCAGTTACTTCACTAATGAGACGGGTTGAACCTGGAACTTAGAAGCTCTTTTCAGGTTTGCATTGGCTTTGCTCTTTCAGTGCATCTACTCTGTTAGTTCAGTGTACTTATATCACTCCAGGGACTGAGTGATCATTCACTCTTCTTGCTCCTTTTCTTCCATCTGAAGTGAACCAGATAGGTTGGGGATTTTTTGTTTGTTTTTTTGAGGGTAAAGCAAAATCTAGCTGATGGGTTGGCTTAGTTCACACAGGCAGTATGGACACAGATGTTGCCAAACTTGTTCGTCAGCTTGGTATGGTAATTTTCTACTATCCTCATAGTGCTTGTGCCGTAAAGAAAATGGAGTGTACACTGTAGGTACATGGCACAGGTGCAATGTGATTCCTTGAGATCATGTTTTAAAAATAGAACTTTAGCAGACTTTGACAGTCATTTACACACTCTGGGCACTTTGAACCGATACATAGGAAAGTAAGTAATGAGTGTCTCATTGCTGTGTTTGAGCTCTGTGGATGTGGCCATCTGCTCCAGGTGGCGTAGCTATGAGCCATGTGAACATAAACCAATTCACACAGATTGCTTTGAGGTATGTTTGGTATAGTTTGTAACAGTGTAAACACAGCCCAAGGCGTGTGGGAGAGAGTGGAGACGTGAAAGTGATGTGAAAGAAATGCAGAAGGTGAATACATTCTATTTCAGTTGAATAAAAATGAAACTTTGAAGTTTACATAATATTTCAATATTATAAAACATTGTTACTCCATAGCATGCTGCTTTACACTTGCTTTGTAAAAATATCTGGGTGTAATGATATGGAAAATGCATGTTTCCATTATTACATGTCAAGCAAAAAATTCTTATAATGAATTTAAACCACAGAAATTTTTTCTTTCTGTTAATAAAAATTCATTGTACATTTAAAATGCTTGAATGTTTTTTGCAGGTGTTGGTGCCTACGTTTCACCTGACATGATGGTTGCTGAATACTCTTTAAGAGAAAAGCTGCCAGCAAATCAATATACTTGGTCATCCAGAGGGCCTAGGTAGGTTGTACTGAAAGAACAAATTCATTGCTTTGGGGTTCAGATTGTGTAATTCAAAATCCAAAAAGTGGTCATTAATATCAGCATAAAGGTATTTATTTTCCATGGGAAGAGCATAGGTAGTCTACTGTTTTTAGAAAGCCTTTGTACATTGGGCTCTAGAACTCCTGGGGAAGGGGGAAGACCACTGCTCTGTCTCAGCACAGGAGAAAGTATGTCAGGAAAGTAAGTGTATTTGAGTACAGACGTATTCAGCGAACATAAAAGTTATTTGGAAACCTGATCTTTTTCTGAAATTTTTTTTCAGAGGATTTTTTACATAGCATTTGTTAAGTTAGTGTGGCGAAGTTAACTGTTCAGTTAGTGTTGGAGATTAAAAGAAATACTGTTATTGCAGTGATGTTATTTCTGGCTTCAGTGGCATTGCTGTGATGGCACAACTTAAGGGTTTTGATTGAGTCCAGTAGAGGTGTGAGCAGGCAGAAAAAATGCTTTTCTTCCTCACATTATAGAAAATTTTCTCAAAGATCGGTGAAAGAAAATTACAGGGCAATGAAAACTACAGGTTTTACTTCATGTCTCAGAAGCATTTGATAGTAATGTGGTGGCCAAAAGAAGCAAAAAAGAATTGTTCTTGCGAGTCGCAGAGTTACAATATACTGTCTTTGCAGCTTAGCCTACAATAGTATTGGGTGAAAGAAAAAATAAAAAAACATAACAAGGTTAGTCTTTGGTTTATTTGCTGGTTCTAGCAAATGCTTCCCTATTAGCAGTGGTCTTCAAAGTTAGCCATCATGGTGTTTGTATGTTTACAGGCAAGTATATTGTTTCAAGAACCTTATTATGTAGAATTGTCATGTTATATGTAGGG